CTATGTTTTTGATCTCATCGCGCAATAGACAACGAGTATGTATTGCATGCATCACTATAAAGAACTAACCACTATCACCTCCCAACTAACTAATTTCACTGTTTTGTACTAGATTATATACAAATGCAACGAACCGTAATTACGCATTTCAGCAATAACATACAACAATTAAAGTGATGCTACGTAGATTATGTTAATGCATTACAGAACAATACAAATGTGGCACCACTGCAATATGACCTTCATATTGTCCAATACGCTACATAACATCATTACGACTAAGCAGACGACAACAAAACATAAACAAAAACAATGGGGCCCCATCTGAAATATGCGAATACATCACTGACACGAATCTTGAACACCATTACAATTTTTTTCAATGTAAAAAGCCCAAAAACACTGTACGCATACCTCCACAGGTACATGATAGTATACACCACCAAGCAAATAGGTAAACCATCTTTCCCTCAACCCCCCCTTCCCCCCTCCCCCAAATTCAGGAAAACCCAGTACACACTTGATAATATAATTGCATTACCATCACATTCACATTCACCGCAGTAATATTACCACAAAATCACAAAAACACACCCCTTAATGGGCCAAGAACATTGACAAACTACCCTCCAGGAAGAAGCATGCATTTCTCAAAATCGCACAAAAAAAACAACACTACTTCAGTGTACATATATCACAATTTCATGTATTTCACAAAACCCACAACATTAAGCACTTTGCATAGTATTTCACACATAACTCCACAACTTCGTAATGTAAATGAAAGCAAGGGTTTATGTACACAGACGATTACCGTACCTGGAACCATTGTCGGCAGACTACAAAGACTTTCCGGTCGCTGCTTCGAAGCACAACAATGTCACAGGCACCTACACCGCCGGTTTTGATGTATTAAGAGCGAAGGGGGTTGCGTATTTGATAGGGATTAGGGTAAAACACAAAATGTTATTCTATTGTCCCAGTCCACATGGATTTCACATCGTCAAGTAACAATCTGCAACTGCAATGCCTAACATCCCGCCATTAACATCGGAGAACTGTTCAACCTTCCATACATGACTCTTCGATTACGGGTTTGTTTGGAGGGAAACAAATTTCTACAGAGGACAGGTTTGGGGCATTCCAGTCATTACGTCGTTGGGGGTTTACTTAATTACCCTTACTAAAACGCGTAAAAATTAGTGTAACACCGGTTTAGTTGTCATTAACATTATGTTGGGACTAATTGGATCATAAGATAAAAGATATGACTAAATGGATCATAAAATAAAGATTTGGGATATATTGGTGCGTCGCCGATAAGTTTATTCCATTAATTAGTTGAAGCTCTATTAATTAGTTGAGATTATTCTATAAAAGTGGAAGTATATTGATATTTTTATTTCCAATTTCATAAGTTTCGATTGTGAAAATTGCTAATGTCCATAATGAGGATTAGTCTAATGAGGTTTTGTTTGGGAATTTAGATTTTTAGTTAAAAAATTAAAAAAAAATTATTATAAATTGTCAAATCTTTTTCTATTGTTTTTACATATTTTTTTTTATCAAAAAATAAAAAAATACCAAAAAAGTAATTCTAAAAAACCTTTGATATTATTTTAAAGAATAAATCTGAAAATTTATCTATTCAGATTTTTTTGAGTGGACGGTAATTGTGTGGTAAAAATTAAGGCTCCATTTGGTAAGCCTTTCAAAATATAATTTTACCAATTGATTTGAATGTGTTATTTGTTTGGAGCTTTTAAATCATAATTCTACACCCATTTCTCAAAACTCAATTCAAAACATAATTTATTACTTTTCAAAACTCATAACCAAACACATAATTCAAAATTCTTTTCAAAACTCAATTCAAATCAATATTTTAATATTTAAATATGTTACGATTTTTTTAATTTTTTGAATATTCTTAAATATTTTAATTTCAAAATATTACGATTTTAATTTTTAAAATTTTTAAATATTTTATAAAAATAAATTCAAGCTCTATTTATAATTTTTTAATTTTTTGAATATTCTTAAATATTTTAATTTCAAAATATTACGATTTTAATTTGTTTTTTGTTAAAATATTTTATAAAAATAAATTCAAACTCTATTTCATAAAAATAGTTTTAAATATTTGAATTTTTTTGTTATGTATTTGAGTGTAGAATTGTGAAAGTAGTATGGAGTTTCAAGTTATGTGTTTCGTTATGAGTTTTAAAAATAATTTATTACTTGAGTTTTATTTTATGTGTTCGGTTACAATTTGAGTGTAGAGTTATTTTTAAATTTAAAATATTAACATTTTAAATTTTAAATTATTTAAATTTTTTGAATATTTAAATTTTTACAATTTAAATTTTTTGAATATTTATTTTAATTTTTTACTTATTAAATTTTTTAGATTATTTAAATTATTTAAATATTTATGATTTAAATTTTTTGAATATTTATTTTGAAAAAAAATTATTTCCTTTGTAGTATTTTCAATTAAAAAATTGATTAATGTTATTTTCTGTTAATAATAATTTTTTTAATTGACTTTTAAAAAGAGTTTGGCTATGAGTGTTGATCAGAATTTTCAATAGTGTGAAAATAGTGTGTTTTGTTATGAGTTATAGCAATTTGAATTAAGTTTTGAAAACTTTTTCTAAAACTCATAACCAAACAAATTTTTTTAATTCACGTGTCAAATCAAACTTTCAAAACTCAATTGCATACTCAATTCAACACTCTATTCAAAAATCATAACCAAACAAATTTTCTATACTCAAATCGTAATTTCACAACTCACGAACTCAAAATACAACTCATACTCTCAAATCATATTTAGCCTCCGTTTGGGAAGTGGATTGACTTTTTGGCTTTTTTGGCTATTTTAGCCTGAACTAAAAAGCTTGGTTTGGGAAGAGCTTTTTGGCTTTTTGGTTTTTTTGACTTTTTTTTTGTGAGAGAATAGTGTAATGATTATGGGTTGGATGTAGGGGTGTGCATAATACCGCCGAAACCGCCGAAATCGCTGAAATCGCCGAAATCGCCAAAATCGCACCGAACCGCACCGCCAAGGCAAATTCGTTATTATTTGCCAATCGAATCGCCGGTTTTTGGTAAGAAAAATGGCAAATTCTAGTGACACTTTTATCAATCCGCCGGTTTCTATTTTTCTTCCAAACCGCACCGACCCGCACCGCTATTAAATCATATTTTATAAGATTCTAAAAATTCTTTTTTACTTAAGTTTGCTTGTTGTTCTATACCTTAGAATACAGTATTACATTATTACTCGAGGGGAATTCAAGATGTCAGTAATCCAAAATAAAGTTGGATTCCAATTCACTTTTCAATCTTTTTTTTTTTTTTTTTTTACCATGTTGCAAACTTGCATCAATCAGCTCATTTTTCAATCTAAATACTTTTCAACAGTAAACATTTTCAATATATTGTAAACCCTGAATGATATTAATTTTATGTATTGTATCTGATCATTGTAGATTTCATAGATGTTTGTAATGAACTGATGGTATAGTCATTGATATTATCATGTTGTTGCTACACTTGCTGCATCAGAAGAAAGCTTCACAAGATGTTTAACATCACGGTATCTCTCGTCTTTTTTTTACTTTTGATTTAAGTTTTGTAATTTGAATTATATTTTTTTATAAACCGCCAATCCGCCCAAACCGCTAAGGCAAATCCGCCATTATTTGCAAACCGAACCGCCGGTTTTTGATAAGGAAAATGGCAAATTCTAGTGACACTTTTATCAATCCGCCACCCGCCATACGGTTTCTATTTTTCTCTCAAACCGCACCGACCTGCACCGCGCACATCCCTAGTTGGATGTGATGTTTTATTTTTTGTGACTAAAATAGCCAAAAAAACCCACTTTAGTTCTTCCCAAACGGACCCCAAAACTATACCAAACGCAACCTAAATTTTTATAACATGAAATTTATATGTAGAATAAATTTAAATTATAAAATAATTTTTAAATAATTAAATTTAAATTCATAATATTATATATTTTAAAATAAACATAATTTATAAAAGACCCTATTGAAGCACTGTTTGGAAAGAAGAATATGGAGTTTTTTTTAGTTATTTTAGTCACAAAAGATAAAATAGACTATTTTAGCTACAAAAAATCAATGGCCTCGTTTGGGAAGTGGCTATTTTAGTAGGTTATTTGGCTTTTTGGCTATTTTAGTGGCTATTTTAGTTTTTGTGTTTGGGAAGATGAGATGATTTTTTAGTTGAGTTATTGTATTGAAAAGTGTGTTGAAATGATGTTTAAATTTAAAATGACAGATTTATCCCTAACTTTTTATTTTTTAAAATTGATATAAAGGGGCAAAATGGTAATTTCACCCTTGGGGCAACACTGTCCGGCTGTGACAGTGTAGGCTGTGCCTACATTGTCCGGCAGTTTTTTTTTTTTTTTTTTTTTTTGAAAATCCATGCACAGTGTTGCTTTTGGGCTAAAAAATCAATGAGGCTATAATAGCCTAATTCTCGGAATTCCAAACAGCGCCAATATCACATCTAATTCATAATCATTACACTTTTTTCTCACAAAAAAAGTCAAAAAAATCAAAAAACTAAAAAATCCTTTCCAAATCAAAATTTTTAACCCAAACTAAAATAATTAAAAAAATTAAAAATACTAAAAAAATCAACCTACTTCCCAAATTAACCCGAATTCATAATCCAATGCCACTACTTTTTGATTAAAATTAGGTTTTTTTCCCCCCAAATCATTTTTGGAGAAATATCTGAAAGGCCCCATACCCAACCCACTTCCACCATTCCACCACCCTCACATGCAATTGCCACCCCTCACAAGTGTGTGCGCCCCTATTATCATCTGGACCCCACACTCTCACCGCCCCCCAAAAAAGTAGTAGTACAGTAGCTATATATATGTATGTATGTATAGGTCTTACCTGGCTACAACTCTGCATATAACCTTTTTTGCATTTTTCATCAGTGTCACACCACTGGCGCGTCTATCTCACTTCTCTTTTAAACGCGTGAATCACATCCCCCCACCCTAGGGCTCCTCTTCCTCCCTCCAAATCTACACTATAAACCTCGCTTCCACCTCTTCTCTCTCTTCACTCTCTTGCCATTTTACAAAGACTCATTCCACCATCTCTCTGGTGCATCAGTCTCTCTCTCTCTCTCTCTCTCTCCCCTTCCTTTCTCTCCCCTTGATTTGGGGGGTTTAGGGGGATTTGGGGGCCCTGAAAAGCCAGCAAGCACTACTGGGAGGCTATAATTGAATCTTAAAGAAGCAGCAACCCAAAAGGGTCTACTTCAAAACCCCCCATCTTTTTGGCTCTCTGTGAGTTTGAGTTTAGTTTTGAGTGAGTGATTGATTTGGGTTTTCATGGCGGAGGACTTAGACGATGGTGAGTTTTGGCTTCCTCCACAGTTTCTCACCGACGACATGCTCATGGACTTCAAAGCGAACACCATGAAAACCAAACACAGAGAGGTCGATTCTGGGTTTTGTTTTCCCAACGAGTTTCCGTATGGGTTTGGCTCGGATTTGAGTTCTCCGGTGGAGTCCGTGGTGAGCTCTACCGAGACTGAAAGCGACGAGGAAGACTACATAGCTGGGTTGACTCGGAAAATGGCTCGCTCAACTCTCCACGACGATTTGTGGAAAACAGACTCTGTGTTCTCCTATGAGACCCACAAGGTATGTTTATGTTCAGCTTATTTTGTGATTTCTGATTCGATTCAAATCCTCTGTTTCGTTCTTTGTTCTGTTCTGATTTTTGTTTTGTTCTGTTTCTGTAGTCTTGGGCTATGGCTGGCTCGCCTCAATCGACTCTCTGCATGGGTGGTGGTGGTGGTTGTAGCGAACAGGGTTCGAGCCGGGGAAGCCCTAACGGTCCTTCGCAGGTTTCATCGCCGCCGGCTGCGGCTGCGGCGTTACACCGCAACGACGCTGCTTTGGATCTGCTTTACGCGGCCGCAGGGGAGGTCGCGAGGATGAGGATTATTGAAGAGGGTTCTAGGTATAACCAGAAGACCAGTGGACTATTGGGTCCACCTCGAAACCCAAGTCCCGTCTCTTTACCTCTCAAAAACCCTAACCCAAATCTTCGGTTTCACTCCAATCAGTCTCTTTCATATCAGCAATTGCAAGTTGCCCAAGTAGGAACCATTTTTGTGTTCTCTATAATTTATATATGTATTCTTTCATATATGCTGATTGATTTGATTTGCTTGATTTGGTGTAGTTTCAGCAGCTGAAACAGCAACAGATGATGAAGCAACAGAACTCGGCGATTTGGGGACAACAAAACCAGACGACCCACCAAGTGGTTCAGAATAGAGCAAGAAATGGTGGTCGTCCTCTCAACCTCTCACAATCTGCTTGGCCAACTCTTCAACAATCTCAGCAGTCTCAACAGCCGAATTCAGGCATGAGAGCAGTGTTTCTTGGTAATAATAATACTGCGTCCAAACGTGAATGTGCTGGAACAGGGGTGTTCTTGCCTCGTCGAATTGGTAGCCCGACCGAATCCCGCAAAAAGACGGGTTTGTGTTATGTTGATTTTGCGATTTCAGTATGATCTGTTCTTTTTTGCGGTGTTTGATTCGATATTTTCTGATTCACAGGTTGTTCGACTGTTTTGATGCCAGACAGAGTCGTGCAGGCTCTGAACTTGAACTTGGAAGCCATGGAAGCTCAACCCCAGCTCCAATCACGTTATGATGGGGCTTTTACTCCTGAATATGGTAAGAATTAAACCATTATTCATTCTCCTTTTTTTTACATCTTTTATACTAAAATCGATCGATTGAAGCTTACGGGGTTTTGTGTTTGTTGATATGTTCAGATGCAGCTTTGAAGTATCGGAACAATGTCCTCATGGCCCAACAACAGAAGCGCAATGTCCGAGCGCAGACGGGGATGAATCAGGAGCTCCGGTTACCTTCAGAGTGGACCTATTGACTCAACCCACCCTGAATCGTCAACATTGGTGTTTTTTTTGAAGCTTTATCAAAATCTGGGGAAGAATTTATGGATAGAAGAAAAGCTTGATTAGTAGGTTTTTTAGTTTGGAATAGGAAATTAGGAGGAATAATAAATAATAGAACAGGAATAGTTTCAAGAAGATGAATGATGAAGAAAGAAACATTTTAGAAAAAATGGTTTTTTTGGGTAGTGGTAGAAGGGGGTTAATAAGATGTGGTTTTTGAAGGGGCAGGATTGTAACAGTGTTTTTTGGTGTTTTTTTTGGCACAACACAAAGTAGTGTTTGGCTCCCTTTTGGAATGAAAAATAATAATTCGTCAATGTGAGAAGTGGGTTTGAGTCATGTTTTGTTGGAATGTACAAACCTTTCTTCTCTTTGCTCTATACACCATATGGTGCCATGGTTAAATTTGTATTGATGGCTTGTTTTGTTGCAATAAATCAATATTAATGCTAATAATGAATAATTTATTAAATTTTGCTATTCATCTTTTGTGTGTTTTTTGATTGTCTTGATTAATATCTTAAGCTTTTATTTGGGAAGTGGGTTGGTTTTTTGACTTTTTGACTTTTTTGGCTATTTTTGCTTGGGCTAAAAAGCTTGGTTTGGGAAGGGCTTTTTGACTTTTTAGACTTTTTTTGTGAGAGAAGAATGTAATGATTATGGGTTGGATGTGATGTTTTGTTTGTTATGGTTAAAATAGTCTATTTTGTTTTTTGTGGCTAAAATAGTCAAAAAAATCTGAGAAAGTCCTTGCCAAACGGAGGCTAAATGTAGTTTTCTCATGGTAATTTTCTTACTTTTGAAGTGGTGACACAGTAATTTAAATTTGAATTGTTGTTTCTCTTTACCCACTGTTGGGCCTGAGGGAGTTTAGCATGGGTTTTATTTTTAATAATTTAAATTTTGATAATTTAATGTGTAGAATTTATTGAATATTATATATTTGTAAAATGTTTTGATGATTTTTTCAATAATGATTCATCTCACTAAAAACACCATCACTAATAGCATTAATGCATTAAAAAAAAAAAAAAAAAAAAAAAATACAACTCCAAGACTAAAACATCACATCATTAATGGCGGGATCTACTGTTATCTAATTAGTTGGAGCACTAATTAGTGCTCCTAAGTATTTTTCTAATTTTTTATCACATAATTATTGATATTTGAGTAATATGATTTTTTATAAATATATAATATTTGTTGAGTTTTTTGTTTTAGTTATGGACGAGTTGACGATAAATATTCAGGATGACGTGCTATGGTGTATGCTTTTTGCAGACGATATTGTGTTAGTGGATGAGACTAGAGAAGGAGTTAACACAAAGTTGGAGATCTGGAGAAAAGCTCTTGAATCTAAAGGATTTCGGATAAGCAGAACTAAGACAGAGTACATGGAGTGTAAATTTAGTAACAGTAACAATGAAAACAGAGGAGAAGTGAAGATTGAGAACCAAGAACTGCCTAAGAGTGAACATTTTCGCTATTTAGGGTCGATTATCACAACAGCGGGAGAGATTGATACAGATGTGGCCCATAAGATTAAGGCGGGATGATGTAAGTGGAGAAGTGCGTCTGGGGTATTGTGCGATAAACGAATACCCACTAGACTCAAAGGTAAGTTTTATAGAACGGCTATTAGACCAGCTATGTTGTATGGGACGGAGTGTTGGGCAACTAAGAAACAACATGTAGATAAGATGAGTGTGGCTGAGATGAGGATGCTAAGGTGGATGTGTGGTAAGACTAGACAGGACAGGATTAGGAATGAGTGTATTCGGGAATGGGTAGGAGTAGCACCGATAGAAGATAAGTTGAGAGAGAATAAAAAAAAAAAAAAATTATATATGAGCGATATTTTAAAATTTATATAATAATTTAAATTCTAATCAATGTATAACATAATAATTTATCTAAAGGAGCGGTATAAGGGGCACATAAGCCTAAAAGTGCACCGATTTCTTAAACCTTGTTTCACATGCTTTGGTGCTGGCGTTTGACCATCTCATTTGTTGTGGGCCACCACTCTCAATTTTTATTTTTTTTTTAAATTTTAAATATGATATTTGGATCAATTTATGCATGTTTTGATTAATATTAGATTGTGAAATTAAGGATTAAAACTCTATTAATATTGAAATTTTAAATTTGACAACTGAATTTTTTTTTTTAAATGACTTAAATTCAAAATTTTAAATCTTATTTTTAAGTTTTATTGTATGGGCTTTTGGCCTGTTACTTTACCACTGATCTCCATTAATGGAGCTGGTTCTTTTTTATAATCTTTGGTACTTCTGCCAAGCTTTGTTCTGATCTAGCAAGATCTGTATTAGTTGAGTTAGTTTAACATTAATTAATAACAATTAAGTAGATATAATAAACATAAATTAATAAAGAATTAAGGAAGCAATTAACTAATAGTTAGTGCAGTAGAGAAGTGACTTTTTTTCTGGAATAGAAGATGCTCCAAATGCTTTTCTCCTTTTCCTTTCCCCAATGTCAGGCCCTGTGTTGTCTCTATATGCACCCTTCTATCATCTTTTATTATTAATTATAAAATGGTCCAGATTAATCCTACATGTTACATACATATATAATATAGGGGTATTAGATAGATAGATATGTACATAAGCATAATAATTAGTGGTGACAAAGTTATATCCTACCAAAACAAAAGGCAGTTGTTGCTTAGGAGAGAAGAATTGTGGAGGAGGGGTGCTGTGAGCTGTCAATGTGTACTCATAATGGAAAAGGACTTGTCATTTTCCCTCTTTATATTTTTTTATTTTATTTTTTTCCATGCCATATATTGCAAATGTTTGTATTTATATCTTTGAAATTTGAATGTGAGAGACACATGTTAACTATGATTTGATGATGTATTATAAAGTTGGATTGTGAAATAGGTCAAGAGTAATTTATCCCATGATATATGATATGATATATTATGAGGTAAGTGAAGATTCAATAATATAGAAAAAAAAAAAATACAATTTAGTGTAGATTTAGAAAAAAAAATGTACACATAAGTAATAAATTTTATAAATATTAATATTTAAAATTATATATTTTTTATTATATATATTTGTAAACATTTTTTTTAAAAATTCACTCAACTGATTCTCCCAATAATATCTAATCATCTTAACATTGAATAGGTGAGACTAATTTATCCAACAATGGCCCTGTTTGGTAGAACTGTGGAAAAGTACTTATAACTTATACCTAAACAACTTATACCTTATAACTATGAACATAAGTTAATTTCTGACTTATAAATTAAGCATCTCTTGCCCCACTCAAAGAATAAGCTGATTTTTGACTTCCAAAAAGTTATAAGCTAAACCAAACACATCAAAATAACTTAAATTAAGCTGAAAGCTGAAATAAGTATCTTTTAAGCTGCACCAAACCGGCACAATATATTATTTGAAGTGTGGGTATACATTATATATGTGTCAAACAACTAATAAAGATGGTTGGCAATTGGTTTTTTTAGTTAATTTTCTAGTTTTTTAGTTTTTTGACTATTTTAGTTTAGCACTAAAATTTTGTTTGATTTGATTTTTTTGACTTTTGTAAAAAAAAAAAGTGAAATGATTATAATTTGAATGTAACATTTTGTTTTATTGACTTATTTAGTCTGTTTTATTTTTTTTAACCAAAAAACTCTAACCAAACAAATTCTAATAAGTTTGAAAAGATTTTTTTGTAATTGTTTGGTGCATGTTATTAAGCTGCTTAAAGTTTTTTATTTTAAAAAATTTTGCAAAGTATTTGGTAGAATTTATACGTATAATTTGTGAGACAAATAATTTAAATAGATTACTCACATAATTACTTTGGACTGCCGACTACCTATAGTTTTAAAATTTTAAAAAATATTCTGGACGCCCCTATTATAGCAAAAATAACCATCACCCTTTTAGACCCTAACCTTACTCTCATCCCACCGACCACCACTAGTTTTACACTTTCACTGGTTCATGTGGGTTGTGAGGGCGGTGGGGGGTGGGAGAGATGAGATGAGGGATAGAGGTTGAGCAATGACTATGAAAGGTTGGGGGTGACAGCAGGAGCTAATAATTGTGACTAGTGATAGAGAGGGTAAAAGAGAATAGAATTGAAATTTTATGATAAATTAAGATTATTATAATAAAATTATCTTCGAATAGGTGGGTAACAAAGAAAAGTAAAAGAAAAAAAAAGTGATATTATTAGCAACTAACAATAACATATTTCATTATTCCAAGTAGATTGAACAAAGATATTAGAATGATGATATGTCGTTTTTGTCAGGCATGGTGGTGGGTGAGGCATGCTGCTAAATAGGCACGTAGAGCTGGACCCAAGGAGTGATAGCGGAGCATGTTGATGGGGTCTCGAGCCCCCCCAACCCTATTCGTATTGCTAAATATTATGTATTTTAAATAATTTATTACTTTTTTATATAAATATATATATATATTGATCTTATACACACATAAAAAATTTATTAACTTATTTAAAATCCATATAGCTCATTCGTATATGCTTGATTCACTCACAGAGAGATTTTCTCACTTCACAAACAAAGGAAGGCAGGAAGTTCGGCCTCTGATGAATGAGGCTTACGATTTTGGGGATTTGTTTTTTGTTTTTTGGCAGGACTTAGATTAGACTGCTTTTTTTTTTTTTTTTGTTAGTTAGTAAAATTTTTGGAGTCACGGACGGTAGAAATAAACTTATTTTGAAATATTTAGGATTGGTTTGGGGTGTCTTAAAAAAGTGTACTTTTTGTCTTTTTACGAAAAGATATGCAGAAAAGTAGAGAGGTGATGTTATGGAAAAAAAATAAAAAGATAAAAAGATGAATTATATAGTAGATGCCAAACCAAGCCTTATTTAGGTTGTAGGAATCTAATTTGGTATATGTAAATTGGTTCAGAATATCTCACTTATATAAAAAAATTAAGATAAATTATAAATACATTTTTTAAAATTTGTTTAAAATACAGATTGATCCTTATAATTTAAAAAATTACAAATATCTCATTGTTAGAATTTTTTATTTAGCAAAATTAACTGAAAAAATAAAATTCATAATTACTCTCTTATATAATAATAAAATTACTTAAATTATTAATTGAAATATATTTTTAACATCATTAAAAACTGTTAATTGACTTGATAATTTATTAATAAAGGGGTAATTTGTTATAAAATTAAAAATTTTAGGGGATGAAATATAATTTTTAAAATCACAGGAGGCGATTTGCATTTTAATAAAATCTCAGGGGTGAATTTGTAATTTACTCAAAAATTACTATTTTCATTCTATTTTACTTTAAATACATTCTATTATTTATTCTTACGACCCCGCTACGTAGTCTTTTTTTTCCTGTGTTTTTGTTGCAAAAGGAAGAAGAAGAAGAAGAAGAAGAAGGAGGGTGGAGAAGAAGAGAAGGAGAAGA